ATTTATGTGAGATCCACGGTAAATTCATTTTCTTTGGGTATCACTTACTCGGATAAATAACTTTTCCATCTGGGAGAAATTGTCAATACTTGAATAAGACAAAATTATCCCTTTTAACAATAACTTTTATGGCTAAACCCATCATTGTCTTATTTACCCGAAAAATAAAAGAATATAGATATATAACTTTCCGAAAAAAACTAAAGGGGCCTTCAATCAACTACAAATCATAGGGCTAGCAATTGGATGGCTTTGTGGGGATTAAGTAGTAGAAATCACATCTCCAATGGCATCGTCTAATATTGTAGCTCTCAACTGCAAATCATAGTTCTGGTTCAGAGTTTTCCTTGAATTGATCACGAAAGAAAAAGTTCCTCCTTCTCGGTTCAAGAGGAAGCTCCACCTTGAACTCCATCCTCTGGGTTCTTGCTCATTTTCTCCACAGTTAAATATATGAATCAAACATTACTTCTCTCTCTCCTCTTCATCCTTCGGGTTTGCCCTTTTGCCGAACATCCCATAGAGATTTTCGTCTCTCTCTAATATGAATATTTTCAAATCAATAAAATGCCCTGATTTATTAATATTAAATATAGTTTTATTATTTCAATTATTTATTTATTTTTCTTAAATTTATTTTCAATTTTCCATTCCCATGATTAGACCTGTTCATGGGATGGGTCGGGCCGGGCCGGGCTTTTACTCATCATTAATGGAAATACGCTAGGCCCGAGCCCAGCCTGACCAACGGGTCTATAACTTGGGCCCGAGCCTGGCCCTAATAAAAAGCTTGAGCCCGAGTCCAAAGTCCGACCTAATAAAAAAAATTACAATTTTTCCTATTCAAATTAGAATTAAAAATTCAGATGATTTTTTTCCTATTTAAATGAACAATGGGCCTACAAGATGATTTTTTTCCGTTTCTTTTACGTTTTAAAACATAAATTTATTCAAATGGACATAATCACATAACCCATTTTAAGTCTAATTTTAGGTCGGGTCGGGCTATTTTAACAAAACCCGAACCCGGCTTGAATTTATTGCGAGCCAGGCTTTTTAGCCCGAATTTAAGCCCGCGGGCCTATAAACATATTCAAACCCGTCCGAGGGCCAGGCTGGCCCATCGGGCCACCCGGCCCATGAACAGGTCTACCCACGATGTATGAAATCATCATCCCTTGAAAAAAGTATAAATAACTAAATAAGAGGTTCGAGAATGGATTCATAAAAAAAAAGTCACATAAGCAAAGGATTAGTCAGTCCATTGATCTCAACTATACAAATTATATGTCTAGATTTCAGTTAATATAATTTATCAATCATCAAAATGACATAACAACTCAAATAAAAGATCTAAGCCACTTCTCAGAACAAATAAATTAAACAATACCAGGATTTCAACCGATAACATAGCAGATGGAGAAAGAAACGCACATGATGTCAACAGGTCAAGTTAAGGTCTCGTTTCTTTATCGGTAAATAAGGAGGGAAATTGGTCAATGGGTATCTTTTTCCATCGATCAACTTTATAGCATTCTTTTTACATTAATTATAAAGAATCTCATTTATCTAGGTAAAACTTATCCATATCCCAAGTAGGTAAGTTACTTTTTCACGTGGACGAAAAATATAAAACATAATGGAACAAATTTGTCCATTTTAACATTAACTTTTTATGGATAAAAAGATAATTATATTATTTACCTAAGAATTAAAAAAAGCATGAATAAGTGAATTTACTCAAACAAATGTTACCCAATAAACATTTACCTAGAAGGTAAGTTACAAAATTATAAAAAACCTAAATGATAAATCCATAGGGTTGAGTTATGGTCAGGTATATTCAGCTTTAAGGTCAGGTTAGGGTTTATATTCTTTGACCTGGGTTGAGTTTGGGTTTTGGCTGACCAGCCCGGCTGGTTCATGATACCCCTATGTGTATACAGATTACAGAGTATTCTTGTAATTTTCTTACTTCTAATTCCATAGCGATCTATTTTCATGCTGGTTTTGTTTTTTCTTATTTTGTGTTGTTTTTTCTTCTTTTTTCTAGTACCAAAAAAAACCGACACATCTTAAAACCTATAAAACAAATTTCAACTTAAAGCTTTTAAATTTTTAAAGTGTATTATAAAAAACACATTTGAAAGACTGCAAGTCTGGCCGGGTCAGTATTGAGTTAAACCTCATATGATTGGATTGGTTTCGGAGTTGGGAGTTTGGGACAGGGTAGGTGAGGACATTGGAGGGTCGGGTTAGGGTTGAGGCAAATCAATTCCAAACCCAATCGGTTGACATCCCTACATAATGACATCAACATGCTCGTGGAGTAGAGAAGGAAGAACAGGCAAGCGAGGAATACAGAACAAAACTTCTTCAGTTGGAAGGGAAACAGAAGGTTGCAGGGACTAAGGCTCAATTTGGAATGAGTATAAATATAAATATGTATAGTGTAAAACTTTATATTTTGTATAAATACAGTGCAAATACAAATATGTACAGTACAATACATGTAAACTGTAAAGTAATACAAAATGTAAGGTTTTGTACTCTATGTATTTACATTAGTAATACAAAATACAAGATTTTACACTTTATACATTTATATTTGTACTCTTTTCCAAACTGAGCCTAAAGAAATTCATAGCTGAATGTCACAGCCAAATAAGGTTGATAAGACAGCAGCCAAGATAGCATGTATGGTGCTAATTTCTGTTGCAAAATCTCACCATGGCTAGCCAAGACTATGAGATGCCTCTCCCCCTGTTTCATGTTCGATGAGCTAAAGGAATTTGCCATCAGGTATGGCTCAATCTATCCTACTGACCTATGATAGTTTTATTTCTTCAAAGTAGTCCATGATGTTCTTACATGGAACAAAATTGTGTTTTCAAAACAATTTCTGCTGCTTCAACCTAGAAAAATGGTGATACTGGGGCACCTGAAAGTGGGATGAACTGAACTGGTTGAGGTTTGAATTCTTGAGAGATTTCTTCAGATAAATATAAGCTTTAAAAACTTCCATTTCACTTGAATAGTGTTTTGTATGCATTCCTTGCCCATCAAAGTAGAGCAAAATTTTCTCTTCCCCTAGAGAATGATCAGAGAGCTGAGACACTCCCTCTTATGATAGATTTTGATCATCAGCATACCAGTACTGTGCGAGTAGTCCAGTACAAGGGAGTGAGACCTGCAAGATAGCAGTTCCTATTTGTTGCACAAAAACCCAAAAATACATATTCGAATGACACAAAACAATGAAGTAAAACAGAGATATGAAAGGCTAAGAAAAGATAAAGGAAAACAGAGCACACTGATTTATGTGATTTGGCCTATAGCCTATGTCCACAACACGAGCAACAGAGGAACACAGATCCACTATGAAAATTGAAAATAGAGGACACAAAAGTTGAGTAACCTCTTTTTCTTAAAAAAAAAAAAAAACTACATCCCAATAAACCCAATCTCTCACTCTCAAATTTTCTCCATCTTCATGTATAAGCCAAAAGATACATAAAGGAGAAACCCAACAACTTCACACAACATATTCAGGTCAGACCCATAAGCAAAAAATGGGTCGGATCCATACCACTGTAGGGATGGCCCCCATTTCTCCAAAATTATCGGATCAGGTCATGGATCTGACTGCAACAAGAATTCAAAGCACAACTCAACACTACTTAATATTCTAAACATGTCATGCTATACAATCTATTATTATGTAAACACATGTACAAAATAACAAAAGTATCATTCCCATTCCTTGGTGGAATGGAATGGCCCCATTTGAGGGAATGGTCATTCCTTCCCCCTCCTTTAAGAATGGGAATTTATTCCAACTGACTCCGTTTCCCGTCCAATCCAAACAGGCAGAGGAATAAACCATTCCGATGGTTCTTTTATTACAATTCTAATTCCGACTGCAAACTAAATGGGAGTTCAAATCAGCTCCCCCCCGCCCCACCCCAAAGACTGCCCCTACAACGTCCCACAGTACATCCCTGCCGTGACCCGATGATATCATTATTTCTGATATCATCATCAGGAGATGTTCCCAATACACAATTAGGATGAATTGTGGGACGTTGTGGGGGGCTGATTTGCTCTCACTAAATGAACCCTTAGTTCTAAAAATTAACACACGACCCTAGTTGGTTGGGAACTTGAAACCTTGCGCTGTCCATAAAAAAATATAAAAGAAAAAAAAGAAAAAACATTTTAGACATTTGGCCGATGCAGGACCTGGCGCTCAACTGGTTTTACTTTTAATCAAGGTTTCGAATATTGACGATACGAAAAAATTGCATATCATGCATTTCGAATAGTGGATACTTAAAAAATATTTCCTGATAATTGATAGATTACTGAAGATGACTTTTAACATCTGAATCATTCAACCCCCCCCCCCCCCCCCCCCCCCCGCAAGTCCCAACCTTCAATAGCTTCTTGGCTGAGAATTCTCAGCTCTTTCAAGAGCCTTTTTTGTCCAATCCAAATATGAGCCTTTAAATCATTTCTTTAAATCATAAAGAAATGAAATGGGCAGGAGGAACATTTTATATTTATAGGTTCCATTTGCTTTGAGTCAGTTTTATTTTTTGACAAGAAAAAGGTAATGGAGTTGCAAGTTGACGCTTTTCATCATGAAGTGGTGTGGGAAGTTGACTTTTTTTTTTTTGGCTCATCATTAGATTTTGGGGAAAATCTATGATGCGGGAAAAACATGGTAATGGAAAGAGTTTTGACCAATCAAAACCCACCCATGAATTTTGATAAATAACATGTGATTGGCTACCACATTTATGATTCTACTTGATTGGTCAGAAGCTATTCAGATATCATATCTTTCCCATATCATAGTAGAACCCTAGTTTTTGGATTTGCTTGAAGAAAAAAAGTTGCCGTCTCAACCCATCAAAGACAGTTCCAAGAGACTTCAATTTAAAAGGTATTACTTGAACAATTTGTATTTACTAGTCAGTATTGAATATGGAGCAATATGGACTACACACTATTACACCTTAATTCACCATAGATAATCAATAGTTCCCAATTACATTTAACCAAATAGCTTGATCTTTAACCAAGCGGAGGGACCATTACAACATGCAGTAAATTACACTTATGTATTAATGGAAGGAAACAAAAGAATGAAAATTGACAAGAGACTTTCAAAAAAAATGATAAATGATAAATAAATATTGGCCAGCCACTCAAATGATGCCAGAAACTTTTAGGGAGGATAGAACAACAAAAATAATCCAGAGGAACATGAAGTACACACATGTTGCCCAGGCCCATGGCCTTGGCCCTCCAAGTTCAGCTCCCAGTGTAAGGCGCCTAAACACAAGAACTGCAATACAACCTATTGAAGTTAAGAAGAAAACAAGCAGAGAAAAGCTGAGGCCTTCAGCATTCTGTACCCGCAATGGTTCCCTATATGCAATGAAGTTGTATGCTGTGTCGATCAGCCATGGGATGCCAATGCCAACATAAATATTCACAGAATTGCTGCAGAAAAGAAAAGGATCATAAATAATAGATATTTGAAAGAATAAACATCATTTGAATTTGAAAGAATAAGCATCATAAATAATAGATATTTTCATATCAAAGTCTGGAAATGGAAATAGAAATCCACATGTTTCCAAATTCCAGTGCACCCCAAGAACTTTAGACTGAATTCCAAAATGACTTGCATCCAAAGAAAGAAAAAAGAAAGAAAGAAAAGGATAAAAGAGTATGCTTGACCAACAACAAATGGGCCCTTCAAATCCTCTCATCCAATAAACTTTTACAATTATTAAGGGTTCAACTATGATATGGAAAAGATATGGTATGGGAAAAACAATTGACCAATAAACTAGAATCATAAACATGACAATGATTCAGGTGTTATTTATCAAAATTCATGGGTAGGTTTTGATTGGTCAAAACTCTTTCCATACCATATCTTTCTCATATCATAGATTTTTCTTTATTTATTTTATTGGGCGAGAGAGAGAAAGAGAGAGAGAGAGAGAGAGATGACTTTCATTGTTTCTGTTTTATACGGTGGTATGATTGTAAATTTAGATGTTCAATAACAAATATGAAAGGGGGAGAAAGCATTAGAAATTTTCAAGGACAAATTTGGAAAACAAAAGTTACATCATGGACGAAAAAAGAGAACGTGAAACTCTCTTTTATTTATAGGTATATAGAAATATTATGGTAACATAGGCTGAAAGACATTTTGTCTTAGCCAAAAAATAGCTATAAACCATAACCATGATATACCCAAATACCCATACATGGATGCTGTTTTGCAGTGTCTGACTTACCTGACTGGGTTCTTGCCATACATGTATGGGGTACATTGGTGTAGACAGCAGTATGGTTTTTTTACCACAACTAGTGCAACTTGAAATTTCAGCAAAAATGAAACTTTAATCTGCTACGGAACTCCAAAAGTAAGAGAAAATGGAAATGATTTATTTTAATGGGAAACGCCCTAGAGCCTTGCTTCTAAATGGGGTCAGGCTTATTCAATAGGAAGTTGAAGATTAAAACCTGCAAGTAATATTTGCAATGGCAGAATCTGCTGTTGTCTGACGCTCAGCAGCAATCTTGCTTGCAACTAGATCTGGCCATGAAGTTCCACTGGCCAATGCTGTAAATGCTATAACATAAGCATTTATTCCTGCAAGAAAGGGGACAAATCCATAGAGCATCATCTAGGTCATTTCGGCAGAACCAAAACCTCAGTCAAGTACAGGAAGCACAGAACCAACACACACCTGTGACACAGCTTATCAGATCTGTGATCTTTGTAACAACATAAGCTATTCCACTAATGAAAATCAGAGAGCAGATGAAGGCAATCCATCCATGAGCGATATGATAAGGAGGCACAAAAGCAAATAGAAATCTCCATGGTACAAGGATTAATTGCCAGGAAACTCTTGCTAGTCGTAAATATATATTGTCCAACTTTCTTGACTCTGTGCTCTCTAACTGTTAAAAAGAAGGCACAATCAAGAAATAAACAGAAAGAGTTTGATTTGTTGCACAATTTCATCCATATAGAACAAAGATCAAAAAATAAATCATAGAAATTCTGTGATGAACCTCAACAGTAGGTCCTGGTGATTTAAAATGCCCCTAATTTCCCTAATATTTCCACGACATATGTCCATTTCCATGGGTAGCAACATGAAATTTTACTGGAATCAACATATTCCCCAATGAACACTACCAGCACTATGCGGAGTACAAGAGATAGTTTCCGCAACACATTTCCTTTTCCACTTCCATGAGTAGTGACATGAAATTTTCCTGGAATCAGCATATTCCCTAGTGAACACTATCAACACTATGTAGAGTACAAGGGAAAGTATTATAACATAAGTTGGTGACAACATTGTAATGTGGAGTAACAATGTTATTGCCCGCCTAACTTACATGATTACCACTTTGAGCAAGCTCAAAATTCATTTCAAACATGAAGTTAAATATTAGTTTTTTTTGCAAAATATTTGTGCAACCATTTACATTTTCTATGAGTTAAAATTTTGCCTCAACTCATTCTGTCATGAAGCTCTGAATCTCAAGGCTTAAAGGGCCATTCAAAATGTGCTCTTTTGTTTATAATCTTAGTTTCTTAGCTTTGTTTAATGATTTAGAACAAGATAATAATTTAAAAAGGTGTGCCTATGCTTCTTTTATCATTTTCAGAAAATATCATTCTATATTTTGCATAGTTTACAATGTTTCCACCATGTCCATAATTTTTACAATATTTCCATATGATATTTCTGACATTTCTAACATGTTTCTTAAATTTGGACAACCAACATTTCCACCGACACCAACATATTAAACCTTGGGTCCTAATGATTCTATTAAAAGAAAAACATAATTAATAAAAAGTTTCCAAAGGATGTAAAGCAAGTCATTCCACTAAATCATATATTTTATGTAAAATCCGGAGTTCTGCTGATCCACATAAACTGAAAATTTTGAAAAGGCACCATTGACTAGGCATCAGTAAAACGCACAATTTGGGGATGAAACTTGTTAAAATCAAATCTTTTCCTAATGAACCAACCATACTATAGATAACATGAGTTGAGCTGGAAGGACACAGACCATATGAAAACGTGATTTACTAATAAACTTTCATATTTTCTTTCAGAGAGATTTGAGCTTCTTAAGTTGATCTGGTAATTTTCGTTTTCACCCATAATGATGGCTTGATATGTTGATTAAAGGTAAAAACTTATTATTTATCAATTGTATTTCGATTGGCTCTAGAGTCCTTGGTCACCAGAAATGTGGGATCACAAGAATGTATCTGCCCCAAAGTCCAAACCATGATCATTGTTTTGGAAGGGGAATGGTCTTGGACAATGATGCAATAAATCAGAGATCACAAATTCATGATCCTAAATTTACGAAACCAACTTCCCTTTTCTTTTCTCTTTGAAACGTCTATCTTTAGATGATTGATAAGAAAAAGTTAAAAGTGATAAGCAAGAATATGGTGACAACTCAATGTTAATTCGACCAGAAACATGTAAATTGTGTGGGTTCTACAGATACTTCAAAGACAACTTTCCAATTATTAATAAAAGAAATCCATTATTTTTCTTTCTTTGTTCAACGTATCTCCCCCAAACGGTTTTGCACGATATTATCCTGAAGTTTTAACCAATTTTTTACCTTTTTTGGTCATCTACCACCATGAAGGATTTCATTGAAAATACAGAGTACAGAGAATGAGAATTACCTTTAGTGCATCAATGAACTGGTGTTTCCAAACTGAAAGCATATTAGGCCCTTCTTCAGTGTGCTTCTTGATAAAACCTCCACCAGAAGTTTCAGCCACATCAATAGTTGGCAGAGTTTGGTACATAGAATCTGTAATATTGTGCTTCTTAGAAAAGGACATCTAAATGAAAAAACGGTTTAATAGCAAAGAATGGCTAATGAATCAAATATTTTGATCATAGAATTTTTTTCGAAATGAAATGAAGAACAACAAGAAAGATCTTAACTAAACTACCGAGTTTTACCAAAAAAATAAAGAGAACAAATAAAAAGAAGAAAATATCATGGCCTGACAGGCAGGAATACCACCCGCTAGGGAAATAAAAGCTTGTTATATAAACTCAACAGGCTGATGATCATCCACTTTCATACCATAAAGACAAACCAAGCTTTGTTATAATTGAACTCAATCACAATGAGAGCTCTCTTGTGTTTATACAGAGAATACATAGTTCACACAATAGAAACCTAGCTAAAATAGAAAACTAATTAACAATAAAAATTTCTTAATCTAATATTACAAGTAACCTGTTCTGTGTTAAACATAATATTCACCATCCTCCATCCATAATTACAAGATTTCTGGATCAACACAATATTGAACCAAATTGTCTTTATTTCCAATCTCTGTCTGATGATATCTAGTGTTCTCATCCCTTTCTTCTGTATACTCCCATCTCAAGCACACGCTGATTAAAAGAAACTATCATGGCCTGATAGACAGCAGGCCTGCTACCCACCAGGGAAGAAACTTGTGCTGAATTTGAATTTATTTTGGATCTATATAAAGATTAGAGAACACATTGAGATTCAAAATAGAAATATATTCTAAATTGAAGCTAACAATAATGGAAGCATCTTATACTTCCATTTAATCCTACATAAAATCTTCACTAACTGTAATACAATTTTAACTGAATTTCATTCCTCCTTATTTGTTATTGATGAGATATGGTGTACATGTATCCCTTCCCTATATTTATCATACTACTACAGCCGTGGTAACATGGGTGGCTGATTCTTACTATTAGCCAGTATAAGATAATGCACTTCTGCACATGCTAAGGGAGAAAAGTTTCTAATTCAGTGGTGATCCTTCTGGAGGCCAACCACCAGCAGCAAGCTACTCAATTTGCAGGTGACTACTGTGGTTGTGGTACCCACTTAGGATTAAGATACATTTAACTAAAACTTAAAATATGGTGGTATTCATTTTGGCATACTCAATTTTTGATAAAAGGGATATACCCCTAATTATTAGTCCATAATGTGCATCTTTCAAAAACAGATAACTACTCCCACGTTTTCATTATCATAATATACAGGAGTATTTTGTCCTTTCAGTGATGTGCCCAGTGTAAGAGGATGGACTTGCAAACCTCCATAGATCTGGTTAGCCCAACTTGAATCCAAACCGAGCTGGCCCAGTCCAGGGTAGTAAACCAAGTCATTTGACTAAGCCTTGAACATTCTAGAAGGTTCATTAAGAAGAAAATAATATAAATAGGGGCTCCATGCCCAAATGGGGACCCAAGACACAAAATATGAGGTGGACCCAGATTTTTTCTCTCTCTTCTCCTCTTTTCTCCCACACAACCAACATAACCTCTTCTCTCTTCTTTCTTAAGATGATCACCCATTTTGCAGGGAACTACAGAGGCCTGATCCCTTGATGGAGAGTATGTAGTGCAGCCCCTCCGGGGGTCTGGCCATTTCTATCTTCCCAAACACTATTTTCTTCAAACTTTCGGAGATCTGACCATCTGAGTCTTGTCCATGGTGCTTACACCCAGTTTATCGAAAAATAGATGTGCCAAAATCAGTTACCATATATCATAATCTTTACCTTTAGAATGCTAGTCATGGATCATGAAAAAAAAAAGTTGTTCTACAAACATAAAACACAAATCGACTAATCTTTGTTCGTTTCTTTCTCATTTTCAACACCTAAACTTTAGCAATTACACCAATGTTTTAAAGCAAGCATGACATAGTTGCACCAATATCCAGTCAACCACCCACTCATACTCTAGTCCCCTTTTACAGTGGAAACAAACTTGAATAAGTTAATGTTAGTCATCTTTTTTCATGTCATAAATAAGTGATTTTTTATTAATAAATTCAGATCAACACAACATAGGACTCTTCTAATATTAACAGATGAATTACCACTAGCTCCAGATAAGATTTAGGAAAGGCAAGCCAGAGTACCTCTACACTCTTTTGAGTGGATAGAGAATATATCAATAATGTTCCTCTCTTCCTCCTCACCACCCTGTAGTATCTCAGAGTAATCATCACAGTCATTATTGCTACTTTTACATGAAACAGTCTCTTGTGGCACCCAGTCTTCTGGTCTCTCACTTCTTGTCCTGAGATACAAAAATAAACAGCAATAGATAATTAAGGAACATGGCTAGCTCTCCATTTTGATGGTTAGATGGGCTTTCTCTTCTTCTCCTCCCTTATTAATAAACATAGTTGTTAAGGCAATGCCTAGGCAGGCACCTAGGCAACACCTAAGTGATAAGGCGCTCTTGGAGTGTCACCTCACCCAAGACAACACATAATATTTTTATATTTTTAATTTATGTTATTAATAGTAGTACAATAGATATTATTAGACTAAATTATTCATATTGTGGGTTTAGAATACTAATATTATTATTCTTATACTAGTTTCTTTATATAATTTTCTTATTTGGGTTCAATCAACATACAAGTCAGTGGCATAGGGGCCATTTGATAACAACTGAAGTTGCTGAATTGAAACACTTAGGGCCTGTTCGTTTCCTCTTAACTCTTATCTCTTAAGAGGAATCTTTTAACTTTAAGAGAAAAATGGTTGTTCGTTTCCTCTTATCTCTTAAAGTGCAATCGTACAACTTTTTGTTTTCCAATGATACCCCCAAAAAGACAAACAAAAACTCTCATATATGGGGTCAAAATGGATATTTGATAATTTTCAGAATTCAGAACAACATTCTGTGCATTCAGAGTTCAGAGGAAAGAAAAGTTCACCAATACCAATATACCTCTTAATGTAATTATTGCACTTTCAGATGTCAGACTTTAGAGTAAACAAACATGCCCTTAATGTTTTGTCTTTTAGTTAATAAATAATAAAACTTTCAAGGGTACAATGATCAATCCAATTTCAGTTTCAACTATTAAGGAACCCACAACCTCCTTAAAAACTTGTTCACTAAAAGACAAAGCAATAAGCTTTCCAGTTCAGCATCTTCAGTTGTTATCAGATGGCCCCATGGTCTTGACCCCTTTAAGACTTTAAAACCTGAATTGATAAGCAAGAAGTAACTTGAAGACTTTATCCAATTGACACAAGAATAATCAATAGGACTTCATCATCATCTTCTTCCTAGGACCAAAACAAGGGCTCAGCCCTTATGTTTTGTATGTTTTTTCTTTCCTTTCTTATTTTTCATCTCATAAATATGTTGATTTTCTATCTTTTGATATGGAGTTTATACATATTTCATGAGGATTATAGTAATTATTAGTTAAAGATTACTGCATATTACTATGAAAACTAGGAAACTACCCTAGGATTTATATTTTTTTATTTTAAAAACTCATTGCCTAGGCAACAAGGCATTCCCCTATCGCCTAGTTTCACCTTGGCACCTTGAAAACTATGGTAATAAATTCTGATTTCATGTTGCTGATCAAAAAATACATAAATTATTTAGGTAGAGAGACTTTTGTGATCTGTAATTTTGTATAGAAAACAATATTCATCCAGTGAAAACACATGCAGTGGTTCCAAAACTAAGCCATAAAATAAAACATACAGTGGAAGAGATAAATAGGGCCAGCGTTTGTCTTGAGCATATGCATGTATCAGCAATAACCCAAATTGCAACACTGTCAATAAGGACTCCCACAGGGTAACCACATTTGGGGTCCAGACCTACACAATGCACAGAAAAAGTCAAGAACATTTTGTGAAGTTCTTAAATTCATTTTCTAAGCCATTAAATGCATGTTGAAATACTACTTCGTACATACAGACACATACATATGTACATGCATATCTAACAAGGAAGTCTCTACTTTTTTCTCCTCATTTTTTAAACAACCAATTAGAGATCCTCCCTCCTTCCCATCTCCTAATCTATCTCACACGCCCAATAAACCATCTAATTTTAAGGTCTCTTTCCCACCCCAATCTCTCTATCTATCTATTTCTATCTCCATCTCTCTCTTAAATACATGTATTTAATTTTTCATCAATGTATCAAATATTAACATTTAAGCTAGAACTCTTTTTTTTAAACACTTTAAGTTAAAACTTGAATATTGAAATAACATGAATAAAAAATATCTAAAATACTAATAAGAGAAAAAAAAATAATACAATAAGACAAATAGTAAAACTAAAGTAATAAAATTCAATAATTAATTAAAAATATTATTATAATTATAAATAATATTCTCATTATAAAATTTAATAATTAATTATAATATTTTCGTAATTATAAAGTAAGAAAATTTAATTTCAATATAAAAATGATTAACATAATAGAATATTCAAAATAAATTACTGTTTTTTAATTTTAACAATAATGATTGTTAAAATTAATTACAATAATATTATACTTAATTATATAAAAAATTCTAACATTATTAAAAAACTTAAACAGTAATAATCTTAGCATAATATCATAACTTAAATTACGCATCAATAACAATTTACTAAATAAAGTAAAATATAATAAAAGTAAAAATTATTAATTTAAACTCATTTTAAATTCAATCTTAAAATAATGAAGAAATAATCACAACAAACCGGGTTCAGTACGGGTTTGCCTTCACCCTACCCAGGCCCCTCATTTTGCTACATCACCGAGCTCTTAGACTCTAGCCACATCACCCTACCTCCCATTTCACCACCATAACAAAGGCAAAAACTTTCCAAACATTAAACGTATAGGGTAATCAAAATAATTAAAATATCAACTCATTTTGATATTTGTAGTAGTTAATTATTTATAAATACATAAGTTTTTGAAAATTAACTTAATCATATCAATAATTATTGAACAATCAATAATTAATGAAGCATTAATAATTAATGACATTCACTGAATTTTTTTAAAATTTAAATATTAATTTATTATTATATGAAATTAATTATATATTAGTATTATCTAAAATTGATAATTATTAGCTGAAATTTTCAGTAATTTTCAGATAATTATTTATTTTGAAAAAATCAGAAAATTAATTTTCAGCAATTTGTAGTAATTTCCATTAATTTTCAGGTAATTTCAGAAAATTATTGATTTTGAAAACTAATTTTGGTAATAAAAATTAGTTATTGATATTTTCATTTACATTGGTTTTTGGTGATTATTAAATATTACATTGGGAAATTATTGAGGAATTTTAACCATATTTATAATTTCCACAATTAATTATTGGTAATTTACATAGGTTTTTGGTAATTATCAAATTGGAAAGTTATTGGGGAATTTTAATATTGATAATTTACATTTGGTAATTATTAATAATTTCCATAATTATTGGTAATTTACATTGGTTGTTGGTATTTATTGGGAAATTTTAATTTAGTGATTATCATAAACTAATTTTCATGTTTTTGGTAATTTAATTTAGTGAAAGTTAATTTAAAAAAATCTAACTTACTGAAATTTTTTTATATTTTTAGTAATTAGTTATTCATAATTAAGAATTTTTTGAAAATTAATTTATTTATATCAATAAATTTTGAAATTTTTATTCATATCAATTTAGAAATTTATTCATAAATTTTGAAAAGTAATTTATTCATATCAATATTTATACTAAAAATTTTTAATATACCCAGGTTTCTTTCTATTTTTCTCGTGCATTGCACAGGCCCTGCTAGTTGTATTATATAGGAAAGAATGCAAAGGTAAAATGATAAAGAATAAAAGAGTAGTTTTGGCATACCATCTTTTCTCTTAGACGCTTTGTTGGGTTAGCAAGGTTTTGAGGATTTTGAGTTGGTTAGGAATCAGCCCAAATCAATCTGGCTACAGCCAATGCAGATTGGATAGCTTTCATGCATGATGTCCCACAGTTCAGTCTGGAAACCGAACTCTAGTTGAGTTTGAACCAGTTTTGCATGGACAAAGACACAAGAGTCAGAACCCAGCAGTCCAGCACACACCAAGAGTCTGACTTAACAAGATAAGAAAACATGGATTCATGGAGACATCTATGGGAAAAGTATATACTAATAAAATAGTTCATATCTATGGAAAAGTAACATTTGACATAAAAAAGGTTTTCATCTTGTAAATTAGCTGTTCATTTATGTCAAATAAGCTAGGGGATAAAAAGGAAATATTAAATGGTAGTGTCCCCAAGAATCCATAGATTGTCAGACTTGATGCATGTCCAACACAGACATGTTGTCCCTTTAGGAAAGTCCATGCAAAACTGGTTTGAACTCAAGACCTCCTACAAGGTCTACTTTTCCATGGACAATAAGTTCCTATATCACTAAGGTCTACTGATCAACAAGGTTTGTAAATAATCAAATTATCACTGATAGCTTAAAACTGGCATGCCTGAAAACTGAAAAGAACAACATAACAGAATTCTAGAATCATGATGAAATGGTATACGGAAGACACCTCTAAGATTATGTACAGCCAAATGTAAGCCCAAAATGACCAAAAGAGCTCTACTATCCAAACACCAATATCTGATATCTTTTTTAAAGTTCCTTCTTTTGGAACTACCACACAAACAGCATGGATAGGAAAAAGGTCAAATGCAGCAGAACCAACAAGTGTTCCAGGACCCAAACCTACAAATCAGGTAGATGTTAGAATAGCATATAGAAGAAGCACAAAAATTAGCATAGATACATGAATACAGAGTTCAAGCCACGAAAAGATCATGTGAAGAAAATGTTAAATAAAAGTTAAAAAGTAGATGAATAAATTAAGTTGTTCAAACTCAAGTTTGAATGTAGACACAGTAATTAATTCATGATTCACAAATTATTCTAAGCAATCTGTGGCATAGCTTGAGTGAAAGGAATCAGGCCTACATAGTCAACTAAAGAAGTTAGGCACATGTGGCAGGGTCATCTCAAGCAGATGCATTGAAAATACCAAGCAATGCAACCCTGTCCTCCATGAAATATAACCCCAAAATATCAATACCCCAACTACACGTTTATGATCTTTGGTAAGCTAGTTAGTGGTCCAGCTAAACCCCAAGCTACCACCCCACCCACCCAGATAATGATAACAAAAAAAGAAAGGAAAAGAGTCAAGTTACTACATAAACATACATTTGAGTTTGCTTTTTCATCAGACTTCTCAAGAATTAAAAAAAAAAAAAATCCCATGAATTTTTAACTGAAGATAGCAACCGTAGCCTCTGTAGTAAACTATATCTTCATTTAATTATTTGCACCAAGCCACCACTCCTGTCACAAGTTTGAAGCTTAATATCATACTAATCCTTTCAAAGGTTCCAGAACATGCAGGAGAATCCTTAGAAAGTGACTCGAAAACTAGCATTGGCTGGTTGAAAGATGAGATGGCAGGGTCATGGAGCTTCAGACTCCAGACAAACTCCAGACAAGGAGGGCAAGATTTATGGCTAAAAGATTGCACACTCAGTTTTTTTGGTCATAATTAGCAATTTTGATATTGATGGATACTTCTCCATGTAGAGATGGGGAAATTCATGTAAGATATTTGGAAAATCTAAAAAAATCAGGGAAATTTTCTAGAATCATGGAATTAGTTAATAAATCTTCAAGAAATCATTAGAAGAAGAATAATTGCACATTTAAAGCACAAAAAACATAGCAAACAACTATATAAGTCAAATAAAAGAGTATAAGAGACTTAAAAATAGGTATCTTTCTTTTTATCTCCCTTTTAGTCTTTTAGCCATCTTGTCTTTGTTGCATATTCATTTACTTGCCATTTCAACATTTGTCTTTTTTGTTACTATATGTTTTGATTAGATTGAGAATCCTCTTTTGTTGTGTGTGTTTTTCTCTTTCTTTTGAATCATAGCAAAATAGTAAGCCAAACATCCAATAACTAATTCCCCATTGGTTCTTTTAGCCAACATATCCACAAAATATCAAAGATATTAGTAAAAAAATATTTTTGGAAAATTTCATATAGGAACCTAGCAAAATGGGGAGATTTCAAGGAAATTTCACCTTGTCAATATTGTGAGCCATGTTTTTGAGTACCAAGATCTTATAACACCTTTGCAAACTAACTAGCTTGCGAAGGTGTAAACAAGGAGAGCCTGACCTAGAGTGGATATCCTTTAGCCGAATCATGTAAAGTACTTGGAACAATTAGGGCTTGTTTACACCTTCGCAAGCTAGTTAGTTTGCAAAGGTGTTATAAGATCATGGTACTCAAAAACATGGTTCACAATATCGACAAGGTGAAATTTCCTTGAAATCTCCCCATTTTGCTAGGTTCCTATATGAAATTTTCCAAAAATATTTTTTTACTAATATCTTTGATATTTCATGGATATGTTGAATAAAAGAACCAATGGGGAATTAGTTATTGGATGTTTGGCTTACTATTTTGATATGATTCAAGTCACTATAAAGTACTTGGAACAATTAGGGCTTGTTTGGGGAGTAATAATGGGCTTGTTCCATCAGATTTTGGTGTAAAATGTAAAATAGCTTATAGTACTTTTTTTTATCAGCAACACAAAATTGATTCATTAAATCAAAAAAAATAGAGATACAACAAAGAGTTGTGAGCACAAAACAAAGCCCAAACAGAACTATTCACTATTTACAGAACTGCCCAGAACATAGATTGTCTTTTGAGTTCCTTGCTTTGCTAGACCATCAGCGAACTGTTCGCAGATCTCCTTATCCACCTTATTTGGATCATCATGTCTTTAGAAATCTGCTTGAATCTCCTGAATTCATTCCTTAACTTCCATATGATTCCTTCCCCCTTTTCAGCCAGCCCACAAATAGCTTATAGTACATTGACTGCTACTCATCATCAATATAATTTTTCAAGTTACTGATATAAAAATGTACAAGAATCCTATAAACAAATTCATGCAAAATCCAGCCCAACATTTTCACCAAATAACTCCATAAGAGAATACCTGATTTCCTGAATATGATGGAATGCAGAAGAGGGTTTCAATAAAAATATAGATACGAAATTGGAAATTAAAAAAGATGTTAAAACATGAGAGTATTCCACTTTCAATGATAACCTGTATAAATTTTTCACTCTGACTTCTGAGAAAGATATCATAAAAATACATAGAGATGGCTAAGAAGACTGACATAAGACAAATGTCAATAAATTAAGTAAAAAAGGAATGCAGCTGCAGCAGAGCCAAATAGCAGAAAGAAATGTAGAAGTAATAGGACATAGTCATATAAATAGAATTGCATGACCAATAGAGGACCTGATCGGGTACAGAGTTTCTAAATGTAATTCAGTAACTCAGCATCGTTTCTATGCGAAACTTAAATTATGAAGATAACCCTAGCTGATGTTAATGATAATACATATTTCTGGTAACATAATCTTGGGCGTCCATTTTATTTTGATATTAATGATAGTTTTCTCACAAAGAAATAAAAGCAGTCTCATGCTCTTTGTATGTCCAAGGTTTCTTTTCCTCTTACAATGCATATCATCAATTCAAAGCGAACATTTCTTTTATGTGTTAGAAAAAAAGAAAGACATAAACAACAGAAGTAAATGGCCACAAACCTCCAGCATACAGCTGACCAATATTCCGGATGGCATCTATAGTGGCCAAAGAGATTTGGGGGAAACTTGTCCCAAATGCCAGTAAAGTAATGTCTGCAATTGTGTAGTTCCACACATTTTCATATCTAATTAATTCAGTGTTTGTGAAAGGATCTATCTCCACCACCTTCTTTTTGTGCTTAACAACATTTTCCATGGACCGGAAAAAACGGGCAGTCACAGCTGATAATCCTAAGAAACAATAGGCAAGACCAAGAAGATACAGGAATAATCTGAAGCCATCCCCAAGGGCAGTTTCACCTCGGAAAAGCAAGTAGCTTTCACATTTTTCATGCCCCAAAACGTTGGAAAATGCAAGCATTCTCTCTGAAATAGACTTGTAACCCAAGCCCATATTTCCACTTGTCAAGTCACATTCCCCTTCTGAAATGGCGATAATCCAGTAAACAAGCTATCCTGAAACATATCATAGGACTTAGCAAAAAAGAATAAACGTATTAGAAGAATACTTCAAACATAATCGGTACCAATACGGCTCCAAATTCTATTGACATATCTAATTCAAGCATACCACAGTCAGATTTTTATTTTATATTCTCCCTGATGATACATAGTATGCAATAAATGTGCCATTGTCCATGATGAATACTTGGTCAAGTTAACAGGACGGGAGAAATCATCCTCCCTGATTATTTCTTTTTTAATGAAATTCACAGTTGTTGATCCAAATATATATATACATCCTCCCTAATACAGGTTATCTGGGAGGTCTACGGTGGTCTGTGATGCATCAAGGTTATCCCTTGGGACAAGGTCAGGTTAAGCAGAGTGAAACACCTATCTGATGATTCTGATCTGCACCATTTCATCTGGGCCATTTGCAATACTTTCTTAGATCATCTAAACGATTCAGTAGATTAGAACTGACTAATATTTATTCAAAAAAACTATGCAATTTATTTAAGCTATTTTACCCTCAGTGAATAGAAAAGATACTTTTTTATAATAAAAATAAAGAAAAAAAGAGAATACAGAGGAAGGTGACCAACAGTCATCTGAGAGAAGAAAGAAAGAAACTTCACCTCCAAGGACCAGATCCAACCCCCTAAAAGTAACCAAAACAAACCAGCCACAAAACAAATGAAACATACACCAAACAGACCCCCTACTAAAATAAACAAGACAGAAATAAAACCCTGCAACGAAATAAATAATTGATCAAACCTCTTTACTTCTCCTGTAGACTTTCTTTGATTTCTTCACCTTCTTAGTAGGCCCAACTCCAAACAGATCCCCTTTTAATCTTGCAAACACTTTTGATACCTGGACTACTGTTCTAAAGGTTTTCTGATTATTGAATCTTTATATGGCATTAGGCTTCTTCTTCGTCAGATCCTTCAATACCCTTTGATCATCATTGATTCTTTCCAACTCCAAAACCACATTTCCCTCCAAAAAAAATGATCCGAGACACCTCTCCGTCTCATAAGTTTAATTAGACAGTTTTATAATCTCCTGATGTCTACTACTCTACAGAGCCTACTTGAATTGCCATTCTAAATCCAAAATACATCTACTTGAACTATGAAATAGAGACTAATACACTACAGCTTTAGATTCAGACAGATGGAACTCAAAGCCGTTAACCCCAAAATTATACTTTACACCAACCTTCAAAGGCAATTATAATTACAACCATCAAAGCCTTAGAGTTAAACTTCATTTTCTCTTTATGTAATCTCTTTCTCTCTCTATATAATCTCTTCTCTCTGATATCTACATTAATCAAGAAAAGATCACTGTACATTTAAAATTCCAACTCAATAAAGAGGATGTGTGTATCTATCCACAATTTAAGAACGAAGATAGTGGAAGAAGGAAAGACATCTCAACAAGTTCTTCTACAAGGCAGATCGAACAAAGACTACAAACCGACCTTAAATATCAACATAGACCAAGTTTAATTTTCGCATAGAATTAACACCTCGAAAAATGTGAGAATTCGAACTCTTGCTGTGAACCATCATATTTTCTTTTATTTCAATTGCCAAATTAGAGAAAACAAAAAGAATCAGAGAAGAAAAGAAAATACCGATAAACGCAAAAGAGATCAGAGGACCACGGTCTTACGAGTACAAAAACGAGAGGAGTGGAACACGGCCTTACGAGCACATACGAGGGGAGTCACTGGTAGGCTGTTACCTCGGAGGCAACGAGTCAGCCTCACCGGTAACATCCAGCACCTGAATCTGATGCGGACCAGATTCCGGCGATGGAATTGCCTACCAGGGAAAGACACGGAGCGAGGAGACATCGCGAGTGTATATCGGTGAATGGTTAATTGGTGTTTGAGTGGCAGAGGAGCATGTTTTACTGCTAACGTAAGTTAATTAGTTAATTGAAGAAAAATTACTCAAAATTTTCCCGGTTATTTTTGAAACCGGCTGAACCAGAAACATCAGAAGATCCTATCATCTCCCGACTCCCCTCACAGAAATTCAAGAAAATAAAAAAATAAATGTAAATTTTTAAAAGACAAGAAAACCCATCTTATTAAAAAAATCCCGCTGAGCAATAAATAATGTTTTTAAAACACCATTATTTTAGATACATCAATAAGATCAAAACTCCCATTTCTTTTTCCAAAAAAATAAGAACTCCCATTTAACCCTAGCTCTACATTGGTTTGTTTGCATGCAAAGAAGACCATAACCAAAAGAGAAGGATAAAAGAAAATGAAATTATTTAGACTGCGTTTGGAATCACTATAAAATGTCATTGGTGTAAAAATACACGGATAACATTTTACATTGAACCGTAAAAGTGACCATTGCTTTTTGAAAACGTGATGGGTGGAATAATGTAAAGTTTTACATCAATAAAATCGATGTAGTTTTTACATCGATTATCGATGTAAAACTTCGCTCCATCCAAACACATGCAAAACTGAATCAAAGTGGAATTTTACATCAATCATAATTACACGCTCCTTCCAAATGCCTACAAAACCGAACTGATGTAAATTTTAGATCGGTTCTTGATTTATATTACTTCCAAATGCAGCCATAACCACTAATTAAGAATGGATATGACATTAAATAAAATGGAATGGTGAAAATGAACTGGATCTCCTTGTTATCCTACTCACACATTACTACAGCCACACATCAAGAAGCGTCTCCTATATTTACATATTAACATTCATGAGGAGATATTCCCATTGTATAGTTATAGTGTCTTGTGGGTAAGTGTGGATAGGAGATACAAATTTTGGCGAAACATGATTCATGTAACTGATCTGATATAATTCTTTTCTGATAATAGGGCACAACCAATCCCTATAATCAGTATAGGACTTTAGATGATGATGATTTTTAATTCTTAGTTTGTGATAATTTGCTTCAATCCTTTAGCCTGTGTTTGGAAATGATGCAAATGGAGTGTAAATCCCGGTTTAGGGTAAATTTGCACTCTGGTTCACTTTTTCCAGTGTTTGGCAACATTACATTTATGCATTGATAAATGACAGGAAACACATTTTCCAATGCATATTCACATTGATAATAAGATGTAAAAGTACATCAATAAAGTATATGTTTTGGCATCAATGCTGCTGATGTGTGGGTTAGATGCACCGTTTTCTAAACGGTGCCTTTTTTTTTGTTTGGAATCATTGCTGCCAAATAGGACGTTGCCAGAGCAACAACTTTTTCTGTTTGGTACCAATGCTCTAGCAAACATTTTTTGCACTTCTACCCATTATCCAGTGCCACATCACTGGCATGTTGGCAGCAACGAGCTGTAGCTCTAGGAAATGCCAAATTTGGCGTTGCTCCAAGCCATGCCTTCTTGATTTCCAAGGCATGGCTTAGAACACCATTTTCTATGGAAAAATGGTTCCAAACAGATGGTTGTTTCTTGGAGAACAGTTTTTTCCTATGTGGCACTGATGTGGCGCCGTTTTCTGGAGCAATGACAATGGTTCCAAACAGATGCAAAAATAAATAAATAAATTTGCATTCAAGTGGGCTTTTGATAAAAAGACATGCTTTATTGGAATTCGTGTTTGCATCCATTATACATAAAAGTTTGTTTGGTAAGAAGGTAAATTTGTCAGTGCAAATTTATGTGGACCCTTGCCACATATCTATAATGGGAAGGAGATCAATTCTAACCAAGTATACACGATAAGGGATGTCAAATCATTTTTATTTTAATCAAGCACATCAGACCCCCACGATCACTTTGGAAGGGTTCTATGCTCCTACATGTGACCTTGAAAGCCTTGATATGCAAGTGTCGACACAAATTTCGTATACAAAACCAAATACAAGAAAAAAAAGAAGACAAATCCAAATAAATTGATTTTCTTTTATATATTTGCAATAAATGGGATACAAACTCTTTTGGATATTAATTATCTTACAAACCAGATAGAACCTCTAATTCTCTCTTGATGATGTACTTCTTGCAACTTGAAGATTTGGATTTGAGTTAAATCGGATGACGTCCTCACGTACTTCAGACAGTGATGAAGATTGATTCCTTCAATTGGGCTTTGAAAACTTGATCAAGAGTTGAAACATTATTTGAGTTTGTCGACCCTGTGGACATAGTCCACTATTTCTCAATCTTTAAGGCCCTCAAATAAATGAAAAATTCCTAGTGAATTGAAGAGTGTGAACAATCATTTCAACAGTTAAAACAGTATTTAACATTATCACCCTTAGTGACGAAGCCAAGTCTAGGAGACCAATTGATATGGGGCAATAGGTATCATCAAGCTTTGCAGTTTCAAATTCCATGGAAGATGAGAAGTTGCGAAGAACAGATGAACACATCCATAAAAGATAAGATGAACAAGGAGAGCTGGAAGATCAAGCAGATATGAAGGAATATGATGAAATTCATGGTTATGGTGATGTTTCACAAATTGGCTAGGATGAGGTTGTTGTTGGAGAAAACAATGGGACAAAATTATATGAGAGCTTGGGATACTCGATCCTCTTTGTGATTGTTCTTTTTGGCTTGATAGGAGGTCGGTTTATGGCATTTGTAGTTACCATAATGTGGTGTATACCGATAAAGTCAATTGAAGCTTTGAGAACAACTCCACAGGTGTTTGAATACTTAAATTGGAACGTAAAGGGCCATGAGGGAAGAAGTGTCCTATACATAACCTACTGGATGATGGTGATTCCGAGAAAACCGTCCAAGTAAGGGTGTTAATGGACTGGTTTTGGATTGGACCCCATCTAGTCCAAAATCAATTTGGATAGACTGAACGGACCAACAAGACATATTGGATTGGACCAATTCGGTCCAAAATATTTATTACATTGGATCGGACCTAGTCCATCCATAATAAATTTATATTAGATTAGATTGGATTAATCCAATATCTGGTCCATTGGTATAAGATAAGTATATAGGTGTTAATGGACCGAGTTAGGGTTGAAACCAATCTAAATCAAAACAAATTTGAACAAATTGGACCGTTCTAAAATGGTCCAAAATATTCATTGGATTGGACCTGGTCCATTTATAATGGACTCACATTGGAATGGATCGGATTGAACCAGATCCTATCCAATTGACACCCCTACATCCAGATAGGCTCCTTACTAGATAATGGTTTTCGATATAACATTTTCCAATTTTTTAAAAGTTAACACCAACATTTTTGCCTGGTCTATAGAAACATACCAGGGATAGACCCGAGCCATCTTGGATATGCAACCACAAGGAACACACATGGAAGTACAATGCCTCACAGGTCGAATTGTCATGCTCAACAAATTCATGTCAAAATCCAAGAACTAATGCTTCTCAATCTTCAATGCCCTCAAACAAATGAAAGATTCTCAATGGACCGAAGAGTGTGTGCAAGCCTTCCACCAGTTGAAACAGTAGTTGAGTTTGTCAACCTTGTTGACAAAGCCAAGCCCGGGAGACCAATTGGTAAGGGACAGTAAGTATCGTCAAGCTTTGCAGTATCAAATTCCATGGAAGATGAGAAGTTGCAAAAAACAGATGAACACATCCAAAAAAGATAAGATGAATAAGGAGAATAGGAAGATCAAGTATAGTCAGAGGAAGATGATGAAATTCATGGTTATGGTGATGTTTCACAGATTGGCTTGGATGAGGTTGTTGTTGTTGTTGGAGAAGACAATGGGAAATATAAGAGAGCTTGGGATAATTAATCCTCTTTGTGATTGTTCTTTTTGGCTTCATAGGAGGTCAGTTTATGGCACTTGTAATTACCATAATGTGGCATCTATTGGTAAAATCAGTTGATGCTCTGAGGATAGCATCACAGATGTCTGAATACTTAAATTGCAATGTGAAGGGCCATGGGTGAAGAAGTGTCATGTATGTAACCTACTATAGGTTGATGACTCCAAGAAAACTGTCTCGGTAGGCTCCTTACTAGATAATGGTCTTCGAGATAACGTTTTTCAATTTATAGAAGTTAACGCTAAAACTTTTGCCCGGTCTATAGTAAAGATGCCAAGAATTCACCTAGGCCATCATGGATATGCAACCACCACAGACACACAAGGAAGTACAATGCCTCATAAGTCAATTTGTCGAGCTCAGCATATTCATGTCAAAGTCCAGGGCTGTTACTTATCAATCTTCAAGACCCTCAAACAAATGAAAGATTCCAACTAGACCAAATAGTGTGAGCAGTCCTTCCAACATTTGAAACGGTAATTAAGCGTTTTGACCTATTGACAAAGCCAAGCCTGGAAGACCAATTGGTAAGGAGCAATAGGTATCGTCATGCTTGGCAATATCAAATACCATGGAAGATGAGAAGTTGAGAAGAGCAGATAAACACGTATAGAAAAGATATGACGAACAAGGAGAATAGGAAAATCAAGTAGAGCCGGAGGAAGATGATGAAATACATGGGTATGGTGATATTTCATAGATTGGCTTAGATAAGGTTATTGTTGTTATTTGAGAGAAAACAATGGGACAAAATTACAAGAGAGCTTGGCATACATGATCCTCTTTGTGATTGTTCTTTTTGGCTTCATATGAGGTAAGTTTATGCACTTGTAGTTACAATAATGTGGTGTCTCCTTGTTAAATCAATTGATGCTCTGAGGACAACACCACAGATGTCTAAATACTTTGCAATGTGAAGGGCCAAGGGAGAAGAAGTGTCCTATACATAACCTACTAGAGGATGGTAACTCCAAAAAAACCATCCAGGTAAGCTCCCTACTAGATAATGGTCTTCGGGATAACATTTTCCAATTTCTAAAAGTTAATGCCAACGTTTTTGCCTGATCTATAGTAAACATGCCAGGGA